CCAGCTGCCGTGGGGCCCACCGAGATAAATGTCGGCCCTGCGTTACCAACATACGTGAGCTGCACCCGATGCGCCAGTAAACTCCCCTCTCCAACAACACTCCTTGGCCCCTTCCTTGGTTTTTTTCCATATGTTCCAGAGAAGCAAGGGAGATAATGAGCACTAGGGAAAAGGAAGAGGCCTTATTAAAGAGGATTTTCTGATCACGAGCTCTGTTCCACCACCTCCGAGAGAGCTCGCGGGCCCTGGAGATCAAGAAAACGCTTGGCCATCACCAACGCTTATGGATGTCAAGACCCACCAGAAAGCACCTAAAGTCTCTTCCCTTATATTCCTAACAGCCAGCTCCCATTCGTCCTGATGGCTAAAATGAAGGACAATTTCTTACATGCAACTTCACATTTAAATATGTATGAGCACAATTAATACAGTACGACATAATCAACATAGCCACGGAACCATCTCCACTTCCAGAAGTAACAGGTCGTTCCATCTTCTCTCCTGTATGTGGATACATAACGGCCCCCCACCCAACCACCGACCCAACTAACTATCCATGCATCCATCCATCCATCCGTCCATCCATCCATCCTATGTGGAGTCAGCACAAAGGGTCTGATGCGATAAACGTCAGGTCAAAAAGTTTCTAGCTCCGCCATCTACTAACCACATGGCTTTGGGTAAACCATTTTAGTGTCTCTAGGTCATGGTTTTCTCATCTGTGAAATAAGTGCCATCATCCTGCTTATTATTAGCACAGCCTCAATGATTAAATGACTAATACGAGTGCTTGGCAAAAAATAAGCTCTCAAGCGTTAACCACCATAATGACGGTAATTATAATAATTACAAAGACTGTAAAAACATTCACTGATCTACAGCTCTGTGCCAGGCTCTAGCCTAAGCGGCACATAATTTTAGCCTTCTGATTTTGCAAGAGTCTTTAGTGGGGCATTGGATTTCTCACAGCAACACCTCCAATATAACACCCCTCTCCTGCTGGGGATGATGGTGGGCCAAAGTGCGAGAGCCATTTACAGCATGAGGGACCCCCCCCCCCGCCCCGCCGCCAGCCAAAGCCATGTTTAAACAATTACCAGCATTATGTTGCAGGTACCCATGACCATAGGAGGCTAGCCCAGCACGGTGCTCATCTTGCAGAGACCTCTTTTGTGTGGGTTTTGGGTTTCAGCTGGGCAACGCAAAGCCATAGAGTGAGTCGCAAAACAAGTTTTCATAAGCTTACCCTGTCACAAACCAGGCAGGGGTTCACAGTGACATTCCCACAGTAAGATTAAACAGCATGCTTCGTCAGGCACTAAATACTAACACAGCTCCGATGTCAAGGGGACACTGATTAAAACTGATGTCAATAATTTATGAAACACAATATGGTCTTCAGATGCTCTTTTGAAAAAAAAAAAAAAAAAAAAAGGAGGAAAAAGGGCCTAGCAACCCAGGTGGTTTAAAACTGTTCATGCATTTTCCCTTGAACGTACGCACACCCCCAGCATGCATGGATGCTTCTTTACGCAGTGAATGTAAATGCACATGTGTATAAGACCATGTGAATGCTGCCGATACATATGGGCGGAAGAAAGTATTTAGTTATTCCACTGAGGGCTGTCGAGGCTGTAACGTTATACATGGTCTTGTCTTTCATATTGTTTTGAGGGGTTTCTTTCCTCCAGAAGAAATCCAAAATTGGATTTAAAATAAAATGGGGCTTTACAAAGTTCACATTTATTCCGGAGAGAACTCAACCTTGAAACACCAGAAAGAAAGCTGACCAAAGGAGACCTATAGGACATACGCATTTCTTTTTCTTTTTTTTTTTTTTTTTTTAACGTTTATTTATTTTTGAGACAGAGAGAGACAGAGCATGAACGGGGGCAGGTCAGAGAGAGAGGGAGACACAGAATCTGAAACAGGCTGCAGGCTCTGAGCAGTCAGCACAGAGCCCGATGCGGGGCTCGAACTCACGGACCGCGAGATCATGACCTGAGCCGAAGTCGGACGCTCCACCGACTGAGCCACCCAGGCGCCCCAGGACATACGCATTTCTTAGCAACCAGAAATTACTGCGGCCCCATCTAGAACCATGTAGTCAAATAATAACATCCATGGGTCTTTTTTTTAAGTTTTAGGGTTTTGGGGGGGGGGCCGGGCAGCAGGGGGGTTAACCTAAGGAAGGATGCCATTTTAGTCTATTATAAATCACTGCCTCATTATTTCATAAAGGCCAAGACAGAATAACACAGTGATGCTTCATTTTTTTTTTTTATCAATACCGATTTTTGAAATTAAAAAACAACCTTCTTTACTTTGGCTTCGTTGTAAATAATCGGGGTAGCTTGACTTGATATGTCAACAGTGTGAAATTCACAAGGTGGGATTAGGTTGGGGAAAAAAATCTGAGCCGCTGATAGTACAAAAGTTAGTGTTTGAAGGATTTATTAATGCTTTTTTTTTTCCCCTAGCACAGTGCCCTGTAGTGTCTCAGAACACCTGTCAAATACTAATTCATTCACATATCTCCACTATAGGGCCTTTTCATAAAAAGCTCGACCTCTAATTGTAAATCACTTCTAAATTGTCTTTCCTGGCTTTCTCTTCTGTGGAATGATGGAAAAATCACCAAGATTTCAATTAAGACTTTATGGGAACTTCAACCTGACACTCCCGGGGCTATAACTACAAGATATCAGAACATCTATTCAAAAAGGAAACTATAAATAACTTGAACTTCGTTGAATTGGCTTTGCTTTTATGAGGTGACTGAATAATCGGCGAGATTTAAAGATACTTTAACTACTGAGAATTAAAATAACCTCAGTTAAAAACCAGAAAATATTGTCAGCTGATTGTTTGTCATGCAGATGATGTCCTTACCAGGCCTAATTAAACTTTTTGAACAAAAACACTTACTAATTACATTAGTTCATATGTTGATTGCTCAATTTGGCTTAAAGAAAAAAAAAAAAAAAGCAGTCAATCCAATTTGTGCACATAGTCAAGCCTCTGGTCAAAAGACAAAATCCTAAACTACAGAGACTATTCCAAAAGCATGACCATTGTTAACAACAAATGCGGTTTGTGTCTCCACATCCAAGGGACTGGCAGAGAGCTGGGGGTAGGTGATGACTGTGAACACCACCGGCTAAGAGGAATCTTCAGGCCAGTACAATGTTACCACAAGACCCCGTTTACTGGCCTCAGTGTAGCGAGCTGCTTTTGTCCAATTTCCACCCTGCCCACTGACAACTGGAAGGTGTCTTTCCTTTGCACGTAGGAACTCAAACTGATAGCAAAACCGTGGGAGGCCCTTTAAATGTCAATAAAGGGTTTTTACGCACAAAAGGAAGAAAAGAAAAGAGGGAGGGGGAAAGAGAAGGGATGGGAAAAACCAACATTTCTGAAGGAACTGAGCAGATCAAAGGAATTTTATTCTCAAAGACCACTAAGTCAGGGTGTAACTACTAGCTGGCTGTGGAATCCTGCCTGAGCACTCTCTTCAATCTGGCAACCAGTCCCAAGTCCCTTAAATGAGGGGCATGAACAATCGGGTCTGCAAAAGCGGGACGCAGTGCAAAAATGGAGGAGGCCGTGCTTGTGCAACAGGAGGCGAGACCCTTCGCAGACCAGGGCGCCTGACTGGGCCTCGGTGCCCACCCGGCTCTCCGAGACCTGTTTTGCGCCGGCTTGCTCAAAAATCTGCATCCACAAGTCATGAGGCACAAACTATGCGACAACAACATGACAATTAATCAGAACCAGACTCCGAAACGTGTGTTTGTGGGGACGAGCAAACTTAGCAATGTGCCACAGTGGGAGAAGAATCACACAGTGGCAGCTGGGGGGTGCGGGTGGGGGAGGGCGCATAACTATAGGTTCACAAAAGATGCACACCCCATGGCATGTTGAGGGGCGAAATAATTTTCATTAAAATAGAATGTGGAAATTGGAAATTTACATCTCATACTACAGTCCTCTGGCATTCCTCTCCTCCTCCCCCCTCCCTTTTTTTCTTTCTTTCTTTTTTTTTTTTTTTTTTTGCTGGGGAGAAACTGACTTTCTACTGCAGCAAAGCTGTACAATTCAGAAATAGAACGGATCTCTCTCTCTCTCTCTCTCTCTCTCTTTTTAGCCTCATTTCTGACCCAACAGTGTTCACCAGTGCAAGCCTTGTCAGATTTCTTTCAGGACTTAAAACCCCATTACAAAGAGAGAAGCTGGATCCTTGGTTAATTCAAATCTGTTTCATTTCACCTAATTGTGACGCTAACAACACACACACACACACACACACACACACACACATTTTGGTACACTTTTCTGGACCAGGATTGATTTATTTTAAAATCATTACTGAACTCTCCTTTGTAACCTGTGGATAGTAATTAATTTAAATCTCATCTTTAAATCCCAGCTAACACAAATACGCTGTTCAAAAGGGGCAAAAAAAAATATTTTTTGCCCCAAACTATGAAAGGCAAATGGAGGACGCAGGAGTGATATAACTCGCCCCAAACTGCAAATCCCTTTGCCATCTCCCAAGGGATCTGTGATTGCGGAGTCGGAACCCCCCCCCCCCCCCCCCGGGGAACAGGGCCGGGGTTCCCAACAGGGTGCCCAGCTGCAGCCCTGGGAAAGGGGGAGGGGGGGGCGTACAGCGGAGGCGGATCCCAGGGTCCCGCCACACTGAGGTTAAAGACAGTGGATGCTTTGCATTTGAGCCCGGAGTTAGGGGGACCGATCGGCAAGCTTCCTGCAAAACCCTCTCCCCCGAAGCATTTCTCAGCCTTCCTGGCTTCCAGAGCCCGCCGGGCGCAAATCCGAGAGTCCCCGGCCAGCGCCACGCGCGCCCGTGAGCCCGCTCTCAGCCCTCCCGGGCCCAGGACTTCCCGGCACGCGCCTCCCACGGCCCGCGCGGCGTCCACGGGGCAGGCGGTCCTCGGGAGCCCGCCCGCCCGCCCGCGTCCCCGCGGCGCCCCACTCACCCACGCACTCGTTGGCCTCGCGGGCCGTGGCGCGCTGCCAGGGCCGGTCGTAGTGGAACGGCTTGCAGCGGTCGCATTCCGGGCCGGCCGTGTTGTGCCTGCAGTCGCACACCAGGCTGTCGTCGCGGTCGCGCACGCAGCGGGCCGCGTGGCCGTTGCACTTGCAGCGGCCGCCCACCTGCAGGTCGGACACGGCGTAGAAGTACGAGTCGCGCGCCAGCTCCGAGTCGTCCTCGTTCTCGTCGCCGAACGTGTGCAGGCGGCTGAAGGCCACGCGGATGTCGGTGGCCGTGACCCAGTCCTGGAGCACCGGCGAGTTGTCGAAGTCGTGCGCCGAGGGCCGCCCGTCCAGCGTGCTGAAGGCGATGAGGCCGCCGGAGAGCGGGCGCATGTCGGTGTGCGAGTCGGTGCACACGGCCTCCTGCTCGTTCTGCTTGGTGATGGGCGCGCGGTGCGGCCGGTTGTACATCTTGCGGCACTGCGTGGAGTAGAACTGGAAGGGCACCCACGTGCGCCCGTAGTCCATGGACTTGTAGATGGCCATGGACTCGGGCCGCGGCGAGCAGAACTGCAGGCTCACGTAGGTCACCTCGAACTTCTTGCCGAGCGACAGCGTGAGCGTGACGTTGTGCGGGAACTGCAGGTAGTTCTCGGACTGCCAGCACGTCAGGTTGTGCGGGTTGTTGAGGTCGGTCAGGAAGGCGGGCGGGTGCGCCTTCTTGGGGTCGGACGCGTTGCAAAGGTGGCAGGAGCGCAGCCGCTCCTCGCCGCGCTCGCTCACCACGCAGTAGCGCGCCGGGGGCCGGCCGCAGGTGCTGGACACGCGCACGTCCTTGCCGAAGGCCGCGTTGACGAAGTCGGGGATGCAGCGGCGCGGGTGGCCGTTCTCGTCCGAGCAGGGGTCGGGCTGCGCCGCCTGGCCGGAGAACATGCTGAGCCCGGGCCCGCCGCGCACCGCGCCCACCAGGCACGCCACCGCCGCCAGCGCCGCCAGCGCCTCCCACACTGCGCGCATCATGCCGCGTCCAGCCTGCCCCGGCCCCGCCGCGCCGAGGAGTCGGTCCGCCCGCCGCAGAAGGCGCCTGCGGAGAGAGGGGAGCTGCGCTCAGCCAGCCCGCCCCGCGCCCTCCACCCCGCGGCGGGCGGCGAGCCCGGCTTCCCCGGCACCATCCCCGCCGGCCGCCCGCCCGCCTCGCCGCCCGCGGGCCCCGGAGGAGGCGGGCGGGAGGCTTCCCCCCCCC